ACTCTATAATTGTCGTAAATTGCACTAGAGTTTGGTTGGGTGATAGGCCTATGATACAAAGTTTTTAAAGAGATTGTTAGCATGTCTACAAGCTGTGATAAGTTCGTTTCTCCTGTTTAAGGTAACCATGGGGGACTTGCATATTATAAAGTACTTTTCCCATAAGCACAAGTTGCATCTTTTAGATGATGGGTTGAATGCCTTGGCTTGCTTGAGAATTTTCCATTTAATAGTGTAGTCTATGTTATTGTCTTTTAATTCCCATATATATTTGCTTAACTCAGTGTTGCATTTCTTTGTTGGGTTTCTGAATGAAGCAGTGCGGTTGTTGTACCTGGTTTAAACGCGTGGCTTGGTAGACAACACTTTTATTTAGGCAACGGCCAGACATGGGGCAATCATTAGGTATTCTGCAGTTGCAACTTTTGGTCTTAGGCTGCTCGGTTTTCAGTGATAAGGTTGTTTGTGTTCCACGTGTGTTCCGACAGAATATAGAAAAAATGAAACAACTTCAATAGACTTTAAGAACACCGATTTATTAGAAATTTCTGCCACTCCTATGGCCTTCATCAGCGGGTACTTCCTACACCATATTGAAAATACATAAATTACCTAAACTTATAACTAACAAAATTAATTCCACACCTAACCTACAAGACACGATTGATACCACCAAATTGAGCCCAGCCAACATTTTCACACTTGCCAAAGACCTCCATATCACCACGCCAGGAACACCTATCATTTCGGGTATTAATTCTCTTACCGAACACCATTCGGGTTTTATCGACAGCATCCTCAACCCACTAGAAGTAAATTGTGTAAACTTTCGGAAGCGTGTTCAGACATATCATGCGAATATAGGCAAGGGAAAGCACTAAAAATAATCTACAAATGAACAAAGATTTTTCTTTAAATTAGTCAGCGTGTGAATCCGAAGTTTTTGTTGTGGGTTCAACAAATAATTAAAATCGTTGTACAGAATAAAAGATCTGAAATTGATCAACACTTTTTCATTCCTAAAATTCTGGGAGCTATCAGGGGACTTACTCTGAAACAACAACTCCCCTTGACATACATAGTATAGCTCCTGTTGTGGCTCCAGAAACGGTGGGGGGGGGGGGGGGGGGGGTGCGACATGTCAGACAGTGGGGTACGAACCAAGAAGCCGACGAGAGCCTCTGCCTTCAACAATTTGCTTAATAAATATTTTTAGATATGTACTACGTTTATGGAAGAGAAAAAGGAAAACCCATTGATCATGATGAACATACTGTAGTTTTTATCATTAAATAAAAGTTTCTGAATATCATTAGTCCTTTTCAAAAATTTACGGGTTTCAGAGGCTTATATCGACTTTACAGGGGCCTAGATAGTCTACTAATATGTAATGTAGAAAATACATATAGTTTTTTTTCTCCCCGACGAATTTTCTGGGGGTGGGGAGAAACTGGGAGGGGGAAATCTGACCCCTCGTCAGGTACCTCGGCCCCCCTCCCCTTGTCGGGCAAATCCTGGCGCCACCCTTGGACCAAAGTTGTGAATTCCACACTAGCCGCGACCCGTCTAATTATTTGATAATAGGCCTAAATTGCACTGCGATTTTTCTAAGATCCCGAAATTGACGACATTGGTGTAACTACTATGTACATCGACTTTTTGCTTCTCAATGGCGGATTCAGATATAGAGGTTTTATCCACCTCAGTCCCACCATGGTTGGGGCTAAGGTAAGATTTTTTTTATTAATTCGGTTTTTATTATCAAAACTCATAGCAGTAAAATATAACTGAATTGCGAGTAGATTTACAAAATGTACAAAATACAAGATTAGTAAAAGATAAAAAAAATCATTAAAACGCAAAGCGAGAAAATCAAAACACGGTGAAAATGGACTGACACTGGAGGGAAAAAAATCAGCAACAATCAGAATCACGACAAAACGTACATTCGGAAAAGGACAAACAAAAAGACATTAGCATAGTATTCACAACAAAAACAATTAGCATTATGATAAAAAGAAAAACATAAATGAAAAAACAATACACACAAAAAAAAAAAACCACAAAAAGAAAAAAAAACATCAAGAAAAAAAAAAACATAAAGAAAAAACATTTAAAAAAACCCCATAAAAACATAAAGAAAAGGACAACACACCAAAATCAATTTTATGATTATGACACTAGCTGGCCGTGTCACTCTCAGACCATGAAATCTGAATACAATTTTCTTTTTGGAAAAATTAGGAAAGGGGTTTGGGGAGGGCGAGCCGGCTGGCCCTTTCCCTTTGAATCCACCATTGACTGTCGTCCCTTTTCGCCACAGTGGAAAAATGAGATATATAATTTCTAAGAAGTGAAAAAAATGTGCTTTGTTTGGCCATGGCCAAAGCCTTACTGACCCAAAATCTCGAAATTATATATAGGATCGGTGTTTTTGCAGAATTATTTTCTTTAATTAATATATTTTATGAACTGAAACCCTCATTTTAGCCCTATGGTTACCATTATATCAACAAACCAAAATGCACGGGGAAGGCGGCTATTTAGCTGTATTGGGGCCTATTGTTTGCATAGGTACATTTGAAATTGATTGGGAAAATGCTATTCTTAGGTCACATGACTGACACCGTTTGTGTTTTAAGTTTGTTTAGAAACAGTCACTTGGAATGTTTAGATTTACACAAATAAAAAATCTTTGTTCATCAAAAACTGTTTCAAGTCGTCAGATCTGTTAAAGACTTTATATCAGCCGTGTAAAATTAGCACTTATGAATTGACAATGCAAACATTTTGGAGACCCATTTTTGGGTTGCGTCACTTCAGTTTGGGAAGCGTGGCCCTAGACCACCAGAAATCAAACTTTAGGACTTGGCGGCAGGAAAAATTTCAGGAGGATTGGACCCCCTGTCGTCCGACGCACTACTAGACCGTCGGTTCAAAAACTTTAAAAAATAATAATTTGCCTATCCAAAGAACGTTATTTTGACTGCCAATTCTTAATATTGTGGTCACGACTAAAAAAAGCACATTTGGCCATAAAAACTCTCCCCGTAAACCCTTCAAGGGAGTGTTTATACCGGGACCGCTTCGTCGACCCCTTGGTTCGGACCCCTGCGTCGGATGTCGGACTCCGTGTCAGCAAATTTCTAGCGCCAGAGCTGTGCCGTCCCTGGACTGTGCCGTCCCTGCATTTGGAATAGGCGAGCGAAGCGAGCCTTTGGCTGGGCGGGGGAGGAGCAGCCGCCTAGGGGCGACCGGTGGGGGTCCAGGGGGCATCGTTCCATGGAAGCTAAGGATAGGCTTATTTGACGAATTTTGGTGAATTTTTATTAGTTATTTGATAGGCTTCAAGCTACCGTAATATGACTTCATGTAGGCCTATGTTTTTTAATGTCGAAATTAACTTCCAAAACATTTTAATACATAATGCACTGACATTTTTAAAAATGACACAGTTCTGCTGACTTAAGTTAATAATATAATTCGGACGTAGTTGGATAACTTATAATAACACGGCACGCATGTTATTATTATTATTATTATTATTATTATTATTATTATTATTATTATTGTTTTTGTTATTATTGTAATGAAAAGTTAACACAAACAATACATCAAATAGGCCAATGAAGGCAATATGGTTGCTAAACGAACAACATGTAAAAATATTTTTCATTTTTTTTTTATTCCCCGACGGAATGTACTCGTCTTCCCCGACGGGGAAGAGGGCTGGGCTTCTCTGACGAAGGGGGGGGGGGCTATAGCCTTCCCCCACCCCTGGCGCCACCACTGATTCACATATGCATCCTCATGGGCATTTAGAACCCCATATAAGGAAAATGTAGGTTTACGTATTGTCTGCAATGTTGATTTAAAAAAATATTTGTTAATTTGAATTGTCAACCTGACCCAACCCACTCATAACTTTCTCTGGGGCCACGACTGACTACGGTGTACCAGAAGACAATGTCCTATATTTACAGTATCCTTTCCCTCCGTGCTTTAACATCCACATGGAGATCGTATTGCACACAGGACCAATGGCTCAACCTCCCGGTGGCGATTTTTTTCCCCGTACGAAACATTTGTATGAAACTTCACTCGGGCCATCTCGGATTGACTCGAGTGAGTACGATACGAGGAACAAGAGCAGACACTTCGCAAAGTCGTGACGCTCGAGTTTAACTGTTATTGCTCTTTCTATGTTTACCTACGTTAGGCCTATGAAATTTCACGGACTTATGTGATGTACGTCACTGTGTAACTAACTGTGACCTTCTTGGATGTTATTAAATGTTAGTATATTATCTACAACAACAACAGCTAGTACCTCCTGTTATAAAGTGTAGATAGGTACAGTTATACCAAAGGCTAGACAGAAAGAGGATAAACTATAGGCCTAACTACAGGCTGAGGTCTTACCTAGGCCCCTCCTTAAACTAGGCCTAGGTTCATAGGCTGACACAACATTCACGCTTCACATACTGACATGGACTGAAATTTTGAGGGAGGGGGGGGGGCTATAGCCTTCCCCCACCCCTGGCGCCACCACTGATTCACATATGCATCCTCATGGGCATTTAGAACCCCATATAAGGAAAATGTAGGTTTACGTATTGTCTGCAATGTTGATTTAAAAAAATATTTGTTAATTTGAATTGTCAACCTGACCCAACCCACTCATAACTTTCTCTGGGGCCACGACTGACTACGGTGTACCAGAAGACAATGTCCTATATTTACAGTATCCTTTCCCTCCGTGCTTTAACATCCATATGGAGATCATATTGCAAACAGGACCAATGGCTCAACCTCCCGTTGCACTTATTCCCATGGATATGCGGGTGTAACAAATGGAATGAATGGATCTCGACGGTTGAGGGAACACAGGTTACCACCCACACCTCCACCCACTGAGGCCATACCAAACGTCTAGATATGACCAGTCATGCATTTTTCGTTCTGTATCTTGAGGTCATGGTTCAAAGTTTTAGTTTATTTACACCGTGCTCAATCACGCGTACAATCCGTGATATTTAATAATAGCAAGCTGTAAACGGAAGTTGGTGAAGCAAACATAATATTAATTTATAGATAGGTACCGACCTGATCAGTCGGTCACTGAGTATATCCTGAAAGTGCTTAGTAAGCCTACGTGTAAGGAGGTGCTACACGGTGATTAAAAGTATTCTAGAAGGTGCAAGCCTACACGTTTGTTAGTTAAGAGTTTGCAAGTTGCCCGGTTGTTTGAGCCTGCAACATGTATATCCAGACAAGAGCACTCAGGTTAATGTCCTCAAGATGGAAGAGAGTGATGACTCAGCACATTTTAAATGGCAGACTTTCTCAGGACGTACGGTCTGGTTTCCTAGAAATGGTTGGAAAAACGCCTCTGATTCGGCTACCAAAAGTAAGTCAAGAAACTGGTTGTGAAATCTTGGTGAAAGCTGAGTTTTCAAATGGAGGTGGCTCAGTAAAAGACAGAGCAGCTCTTTACCTCGTCAAGAAAGCCATGGAAGAAGGACTTCTAAAAGAAGGAGGAATGGTTGTTGAAGGAACTGCAGGCAACACTGGTATAGGCTTAGCTCATGTCTGTAATGCTGTAGGACTCAAATGTGTTATTTTTATGCCTGATACTCAATCACAAGAGAAAATTGATTTACTGCGGACTCTTGGGGCAACAGTATATCCAGTTCCGGCTGTCCCATTCTCAGATCCCAATAATTACAATCATCAAGCAAAACGCTTTGCTGAAAGCCAAGAGAATGCCTATTGGACAAATCAGTTTGACAATACATTCAACAGGCTGGCCCATATTGAAACAACTGGTCCAGAAATTTGGGCCCAAACTGGAGGAAAACTGGATGCAATAGTTTTTGGTACTGGAACCGGTGGAACATTGGCCGGAGTTGGGATGTACATGAAGCAAAAGAGATCAGATATACAGGTTGTACTTGCAGATCCCGAAGGAAGTGTTCTATATAATTATATCAAACATGGGAAGCTTGAACGAAAAGGCTCCGGATCAATCACAGAAGGGATTGGACAAGGCAGAATAACAGATAATTTAAATGGCGCACCAATTGATGATGCAGTACATGTGACCGATAAAGAAGCTGTAGAGATGACATTCCGCCTCTTGCACGAACATGGTTTTTTCGTAGGAGCTTCTTCAGGGTTAAATGTAGCAGGGGCAGTACAAGTCGCTAAAAACCTTGGTCCAAATCATACTATAGTTACTTGTCTGTGTGACACTGGTCAAAGGTATTATGGACGTTTATTCCGTAAAGAATGGCTGAAAAGCAAAGGCCTTTTAGACTCTGTACCAGAACCATATCAGGAATATCTACATTAGGTGAAAACCAGTCTTGCAACTGTACCTCACAGGCCCATAACCAGGTTCATGGGAAGGTGCCACACAAGAAGTTGGAATGATCAACCAAATGAAACATGCATTGTCATTCCAAATGTATTAAATAAATTTTTGTACATTTTTTTCCTTTGTGTTATGTTATTGATTCAATAAAAGTATAGTTAAAACTCTTTATTCAACAAGTGTCTCAAAGTCAACTGATAGGAGGATGATGAGAAAGTGAACATGATTGGTCATGGTCACTGTACTGATGGTCTGATATTCTATTTATAGATGGCTCCTTAAGGCGAGACATTTTTTAAACCTTGTTTAGCAAACCCGTCACTCGCCAATAATGATGATTTCAAATAAAAATAAAATTTTTATTTTTGGCCAATTAGCGCACCCGCCGCCATGAAAAAAATAAAAAGTTTTTATTTTTATTATGCCCACCGCTGCCTTTAAATCTCCAAAAATAAGATATGTATATTTCTTGCTAGTTATATACAGTAAATTTAAAGCATTTAACAATCCCATTACTACCCTGTTTACATTCAACAATAAAATTTTATTTTTATTTTCTCCTTCGTCTGCATATTTTTGGCAAAACCATTTGCTAAATAAGAAAACAGAATTTTATTATTTTTATTCCGTCCTCTGACGATCTTTAAAAAATGTCTCGCCTAAGGTGTGGTAATACGTGCTAGTTTAATAATGTATTTTAACATGCAGTACAGTATAAATAATATATTTGAACTACAAACCTTGTGAATAAATTATTAAATTTCTGATGAATGATTCATTTATTTGTTGCATAGATCCTTAAATTGGCTTTAATAAATTAGTATATTTGTGAATTTGTGGCTCATATGACATTTTTGTCTCTAAAAATATTTGATATTTTAATAAGCTATTCAATGTTTTTGAGTCTGATGGTTTTACAGATTTTATTATAAGAGATGTATATTACAGTAGTTCATTATTACATTTAAAAAAAATTATACAGTAGTAGCATGATGACCTTGTATTTATGTACACTACAGTATATTTGTCCATTAGCCTAGTCCTTTTCTGAATTTGATATCTTCATTTATGAATTATGTAATTAAGTAAAATATTTTGAAAATAAAAGCGACTCCCTACTACTTACATATTTTTCCATGATCATAGCATCAGCAGTACATAATATATTTCTTTTTTTGCAAATTTTGGCCAAGTCTTCCTTTGTGTGAATCGTCCTAGGTCTTGTCACCAGGGTCCAATGACAAGCTCCATATTATTTTATTTTGACAGGAGTTGGCAACAGATCTCATTTTGAAGTGGGAATCACAAAATGCTGTATTATTTTGCTTTTGACAATTACTATACATAATTGCATATAGTGTTGGCTGTATGAAATATATTATAATATTTTAGAAATCTGATTAAACTTGATGAAATAGATAAGAAAATGGCAACAGTTACACTGTGTTTCAATTTTTATTATGATTCCTAAATCACAACTTATAACTGACCATCAAATTCTCAAAAATCCTTCCAGGGCAACTAGTATTTACAAACCTTTTGTACAATGACACTACATGTGCTATCTTACAATTAAATATACTCTGTATTCACAAAGATTTTATAATACAGTAATATAAGAGAAAAAAATACAGTGCTGTATTCAAATACAGTACTTTCATCTGGTTTGTTGCGAGTGAAAACTGCAAAGAATTAGTGAATAGTAACAATTTGATTTGATACATATGTTGAGAAGATGGACCAAGAATTGTCAGCATAGAATACAATAGAACCCTATTAGGGACACCTTCAGGACCAAAAAAGTGTATCCTTAATAGGGTGTCCCATGAATAGTGGTTGGCTGTTGTGTTAAAAGATATAATTTCTTTCTTTTGTGGTGAAGTAAGTGTCCCCCTTAATAGGGATGTGCCAAAGAAAGGGTTCTACTGTATATAACTGTGTTGTTTCCTTCCCTGGCCCCCTTTATTTGAATTCCTAGATCAGCCACTGGCCTTCTCGCCTATTCCACATCCATTTCCAAATAAATATTATTATTATCATAGAGTACATTTAGTTGATTTATAAATTCAGTGAGAATAAATCATTTTGAGCTTATGATCTTCATTCCTTTTTATACTTTTCAAGGTAAAATAATAGTTTTTTTTTGTATTTAAATTAAATAAAATATACGAAGTAAAATAAGGGATGGAAATAACAAGGAAGACATCCATGTCTGTGTTTTTGTAATATAAAAGTGTAAACTAATGATGCCCAAGGCCCAGGCTGTACCAGATTTTGTGGCAGTTCCAAAAAACTTGTTCTCACAAAGTAGATTTACATAATGCAATTTATTTGATATAACATGATAAGACAATTCCCAACTACACATTACTTGAGGGCAAGTTTAGGGTCAGTTAGTAACCCATTCATGTGACCTATTCTAGACTCTATCTTCTGCCCCAATTGGTTGTACCGCTTCTGTAGAAATCCTTCCAGTTCTTGTTCTCGTCTCTCCCTGGAAAACAAATAGCAATACATTTTAAAACATCAAAAGAGACCATTTGTCTCATAGGCATCATTAAGCGGACATGACTGAAACCAGATCTATTCTTAATTGAGGCCCATGGGTTTTATGATTGAGGTTACTAACCTAATGAGTAAGCAATTTAGATGCCATAACATGTAAGAAAACTTTTTTTGAGCATGTAGACAATTTCTATTTACAAAACTAACTGTACTTTGAAGAAAAGAAATAGATCTTTTAATGTTTACCTAGGAACTGGTCCTGTGCTTGAGACTGGATTATTGTGAGTTGGTAGCTTAGTACCATATGGAAACTCATCAGATTCCTTATCATCTGGCGTCAAAGGGCGGTCTATAAGTGAAAATTCCGCACTCACCATGTCAGGCGTGAGCATTATTGTATTTTCTACTTCAATTTCATCGTCATCTTCATCACTATGAGAAAAGTAACAAAATATAATAAAATAATACAAAATAATATATAAATGAATTAGTACATATAAATCAAATACTGTTTGAATAGTTATTTAAATATATTTTTAAATTATACATTTCGTCTGGTTCGTTCAGACACCTCTGTATCTGTGACCCCTCTAATTCAAGACCACATTTTCGAAGTACTAACAATCAATAAGATAAATGGAGACCAAGCCCTCAGATCAACCCAAATTTTTAGGTCTCAGAGGGGTCTCATATTGGAGGAAGAAATGTGTAATTAAATTTTTTATTATTTCAAAACTATGTACTTACATTTTTTCTGTGAGGATATTTTCTTGATCATCTTCTGGTAAACCATCAAGTAATGGAGGAACAGATAATGGAAGCAACTCAGTACTAAATGGATCCGTCCTAATGAGACAATGATTTAAAAAAAAATCAAAAAAATCATAATATACCTAATTAGAATATTAGATATTTTGATAAAATGGATCCCTACTATTGTAATTATGGTGAGAAAACACAAGAAAAATTAAGTGTCCTAAAAAATGGATTCAATATAAATACTGTATAAGATATATGGCAGGTAAAAAGAAAAAAAAAATGGGCACTATAAATTTACATATTTTAAAACTAAGATTATTTGAATATATTATAGAAACCTAGTACAATGGTATGGTACCATCACGTATCATTGGTCTAACTTTGTTTTCAAATTTGTCCCACAGCAACTGTTGTCATCTAACAGTGAGTAAACTGAATGCACAATATACCAGTTAAATTCAGGCCAGCAAACAGGATACCTTAAATGGCGGTTCCTAAAGTCTGTTTTCCAATTGCGCAATTTATTTGCACGAGTCGAAAGCATGAGCATGTGCCTCCATATTTCTATCGGAGTGTTCGCTTCAGCGAAATCGGTAGTTCTAACTGTTCCTACTTTTTGTGAACCGAAAAGAGTGCGCAACCAATCAGAGCTCAGGAACCGAACTGACACCTTCGATTCGCACAAATAAATTTGCCTAGTGGAAAACAGGTTTATGAGAGCACAGAGTCAAGGATGTGCCTAGATACCCTGGTGTTGTCTAGGGGAAGAGTTTTTGTGGTGGTCAGACAGAACAGTTCATTGAAGCTGAAGTATTCTAGCATATAATATGAATATCATCACTTTGATGTTTTTAAGCACAGAGAGGGAGAGTTTTGGTTTATCATTGGGGGCTGTCTTCAGTGAAACCATAGAAACTCCCCTGGTTCTGGGTCTGCTGTTTTCAAAATCATGAACATAAACAGAACTCACCACCTAGGTACCCAAACATTGGTTAGAGTTGGTGTGTTAGCCAGTGACACAAGCCCTTGCGATGGGAACTTCTTCCACTGCATGACATGCCTAATGACATCCTGGAAAGGAAATCATACAAATGAATCCATTAATATAATTTAATCTAATAATAGACCTTACACTGCAAAAAATTAATGCTTCCCGTAAGGCTTAAATGATTGCTGTAGTGGGGACGTTTGACCCACTCTGCCATAGTACAATGCCAGGTGAGGTACATGCCTGTCATTGAAATTGTTTCTCACATGATTGATGGGTGTTATGTAGGAACTGTATTATATGCACCATTTAATAGATGAAAAACATCAAAGAGCACAAGAGGGACATTGCTAGGTGCCTGTGGTTTCCAATGTGCTTCAAAGGGACGACACCAACAGCAGTAGGCTTTTTTTTCACCAGGCGAAATTTATTTCACGCAAATAGAAAGCTTCGGCTTTTTTTCACTTCGCAAAAAGTATAAAGAGTTTGAACTACTGATTTCGCTAAAGCAAAAAAGTCTGACAGAAATGTGAATGCATGTGCGCATGAAACCAACACTTTTGATACAAGAAAATAAATTCGCCTAGTGAAAAACAGCCTTTACAGTCATCTTAATTGGAATTTTTTTCATGCTAATATTCAACTAGATGCTACTAAATTATTATATAAGGTAATCAATTTAAATATCTGAAATTAGATTTTCAAGTTTTAAAGCTCATCACAAGCAAATATTATTTATATCAATGCATATATTATTCACAGACTATATAAAACTATTTACCAAAAAAAAAAAATTTATTTAAATTATTCCCAATTCCATAGAAACTACCAGTTAATAAATGCAAATATTCTATTTATCCCACCAATAAGAATACATTTTTTATCAACTCTTGTAGTTGATTGTCGCCACAAGAAATGACTGTTTGAATGCTGCCTTATAAATAGATTAGACTGATTATGTAGAGTCACTTCAAGTTTTTCACATACAGAAAATGTCAAAGTACATCTAGTTTTTAAGTACATTTTACAAACCATTTTAATCTAATTTCAACTAATAAGGAAGAGGGTAATGATTAATTGGTTGTAAATTATCTTATCATCTTACACATTACAGGGGTCTACAGTGATGTAGCCGTATGTATCATATCCTGACTGTAAGCATGGTGTATACTAGACTAGGTACAGGAGGGGTACACAGGTTTATGGTGGGTGCTTGTTAATGTTGCTTCTATTACTATAAATTATTCTTTGAAATTCAAAATTTGTTATCACCTCCGCCAAGGAGGTTATGTATATATTGCTGTCTGCCTGTCTGTCTGTCAGCAACATTACGCAAAAACTAATAAATGGATCATCATAAAATTTAGTGGAAGGGTAGATAATAATCAAAGACACCATTCAATTTTCGGAAGACAACATGAAATATTTACAAATGTACCTCTCTGTCCAGAAAAGTCTTTAACATGGTTCCATGCTTATTGCTCTTGTCGCCGTGTGTGTAACGTGGTAGAGGACACAGGTGGAAGTCTGGGTCAACTTCAGAATAAGGTAAAGGTGAAAGGAATGTCTGTAGTCCTGGACATGGATTCTAGACAAATGAAAAAGAAATACAATTATGAAAACATCATAATATTATGATTCTGTCACTTTTATAAAATTTGTTCTTATTTGGGGTGAAGCAAATTTTAGATGAACTAATGATCCCCCTTATGATAAGTGTAAAATAAGTGCAAAATGCAAAAAAAGTATATCTTTATAAAGTATTTAAAATAATAATTATTAAGCATAAATAATGGATATCTTTTTGTTCTCATATAATATAAAACAAATGTTGTGTAGCTGGACTTCACATGAAAAGATTATATCTAACAATACTTCAACATGTGATAAAAATCTGTTTCAGCTAAATTTTAACTACAGGTATATATCTTACAAATATATGCAATGGTGGGTATTCAGTGGGCTGGAAGAGAGCACTCGGTGGAGCTAATTTCAATTTCTTGCTTTGCCTTTCAGGCTCTGGTGAAGTAACTAGCCTTTCATCTTGCCCCTTGTCAGTTCGTTCCTGGGTCCATGCCGCCTGGGGTATCGGCATATTGATAACCTCATCCTGAAGAAACAAAAAATGTCAATTTTCAACATATTTGTTTAACATATTTCATTATTATAGACACCCCACCAACCAATCAAGTATGTGTGATACAATGGTATGGCTTATGGCATTCAATCGTAGTGATGCATGTTCAAGTTTGCTTGTGACTTTACTTAGGCTAGACATGAGGTGTGGACTAGCTCGTACCGTAACTTACTTTCCCCTAAGGGTCTCTTCATGTCTGAGCTACCCTGTAAACCGGTACTGGCTACTCTTGTCTGTCCACAACACAATGCTTATCTCTGTCAAGGAGGCTATTCCTGTCTGCTAGCATGATTATGCAAAAACAGGTCATGAGGAGAGGTGATGAAATTTTGTGGTGAAAAGGTCAAAGGTTAAATTCAGAGAAATATGAAACATTGCCCTTCGCCCTGCATAGAATAGTCTGTATTCAGGCACAGTGTGCACCAGGCACAGTGTGCACCAGGCACAGTGTGCACCCTATCGAGTGACTGCACTTTAGTTTTATGTGGAATGTATAATTTGTTGGTGTCTCTACATCATAAAATTCTGCGCTATGCAAAATTACATGCTAAGTAGAATGTTTTCAGAGGTCCTGGATTCAGCGGGTCACAATAGATAACTTTTAAAATAATAAATAAAAATGTATGAACATTGAAACATATGCCCTACCTCAGCACCTGTTCTCAGTGGTCTCGCTAGCTTTGGTGGAACATAGCCATAAGATGCTTGGTGAACACTATGCTTTTTATAGCCCATCAGTTTATAATGCTTTGGTACCTGAGGGACCAAAAACAGTTGGATGTTAGAAGGTTAGGAGTGACATTCAAAATTACAGAAACAACAATTCCGAGATGGCAGGAACAACCTTGGACAAATACCAGTATGCCACTCACATTAACATTTAATTTTAGTTTGTCCAATAACCAGTAGTCTTCAAGTTATCACAGTCACAGAACCCATTTCGTTTGTTTCTCTTTTCATGTACATTTATATCACAGTAATTGTAGTCTTTTAAGATTTTAATTTTTTCTTCACCTGAAAAGTTGCACCTCCCTTACTTGAGCTGCCGCCACCTTAGCAGTGCACGGTAATAAAGCCAAAGCTTATCCTAGATAGAAGCTACTTGAGCCTAGCATACCGATGCCACTTTTGTGGTGAAGACGCCATCTCAACATCAGGAGAGTGCGCTTTTTCCTTCCTGTTCATGCAAGTGGTTTGATTTTATTAACATTAATGCCATGTTTGGCCAAGTTCTCATTTCATTACCAGTACGGAAGGTTTGTTTATTTTTTATTTATATTTTGTTTGTTTTTTCAGCATGATTTGTGGTCTGAATGCTGTCAGCGCCTTCAGGCGATTGTTTTGTGGAAGGTGCTCAACAAATTTACTACCATTTACCATTACCATTACTTGCAATATTATCCTCCGCCCCCCCCCCCAACATAAAGGGTACTTTTCAATTACATAAAAGCAAACTTACAGTGAGGTCTGAGAAGGATACATTTTTCTTCACCACAACATCAGTTCTCCTAATGGGCACAATGCCCAATGCATCTGGTGCCATATCATCTTTATAATCTGGGGCTGTGTAGGTGGGGAATGCCCATGATTTAACATTCTCTGTATTGATGTCTAAAGGAACATGTTCCAAGATTTCTTCATCCATTTCTTCTCCGAATGTTACTGCAAGCAAAAAGATTTTATTATCAATCAATCAATCAAAAATATTTATAAAGCGCAACAAACATCCCAAATGAACAACTTAACTGAATAGACCAACTTCACTAACAGAGTTGGGAAAAACAAAACATCACCCAAGGTAAAAACAAAAAGACAACTTAAATTCTTTGGCCCAGACTATCAAATTCAAACAAAAACATGTGACAAGTCTAAATAATATGGTCATGATGACATCACATAATGTCCATATATAGGCACATCTATATACTATATATGGGCATACAAGATTTTTTTTGTCAAGAAACTTTGATAATCAGGATAGAGCTTTATGAAAACAAACAGCAGCAAACTAGCACTTAACTGTAGTTAATAAAAGAATGCAATAGCAACGTAAAAGGAACATGGTGAAGCTTCACTACCTGATGGTGGTTTGCCTGCCCTGCCAGCCTTGAAGTCTGCTATCAGCTGCCTAATCACAGGTAGCTTCTTATCCACTCGACTTCTTATAATATATTTTCTAGCTGCTTGTTGGAACCTGACAATTGCTTGATAGCGCAGTGTCCATAAGTCATTTGTGTAGGTATCAAATCGTGGAAATATTTAACAGATAAATTACATATAAATAAGTTTGATATATCACACTTTAACCACTAGACACTACATAATAATATGGAAAGCTTTTTGTTGAAATGTGATTTATTAAGTAGTTGATAGACTGATTGGCCACTACCTTCTCTAAGATCTTTAACTCGTAGTTTTCCAGCTTCTTGCAGCAGAACACTATTGACTGCATGCTGTGAGTCTATCTTCGTTGGGAACCGAATTCCGTTTTTCTCAATCTCCTTAGGTGCTTTGGTTTTGGTTGTTGTAGGCTGGGAATTGGAGGACTTTTTTATTTTTGCCAGCTTCTTTTTCCTCACCAATCCGATGGGAGAAATTGAGTGAGGGTCAAGTTGAGATGTTGCATCAAATGGCTCACTGGTTTTAAGATTCAATTCAGCCCTAATGAAGAAAGATATATGACATAATAATTGACATTGAAAATCCAACCCTAGGAGACAAGGTCAATCAAAACAAAAACTGATAGTGGGAAGGGGAGCTATATGAAGTAAACAGATAAGTTTTCAAAATTGGCAATGTTTTTAACAGAGATGGTCAGGTCACTCCAGAGCTGGCGAAAGCAGGGAAAGCAGACTTCAAATAGGGGAGCTGATGGGGGAGGGCACGTAGGTGGGGTTTGCGGCTTGATTATCAAGTCACGGGGTGCTAGGTCACAAAATAACATGATTTTTTTCTACTTGAGCATGATTTTTTGGCCTCAGATATTTTCAATGAGGGGAGAGTTGGGGAAAAGCTTCTTTTTTTTTTAGGGTGGGGTGGGGGGGAGGGTGGGGGGTGGGAGCAGTGCTGCAGTGCACCCTCTAGATATGCCACTGGTTATAGTTTTACATTGCCAGCATACATATGGCAGGAAAAATTATTATCATTAGTATTCCGGTAAGTTTGTAAATTCATTGCAGAAAAGTGGAAAATTGGAATATTAAATAACACCACATGACACTAGAGAGAACATTAAAGTTGGGCACACACTATGTTAGATGACGGTTGGTAGGCTGGCCGATAAATCCACCTCTGATTTGTGTGAGCACTTGATAAAGCTACACTGTCTGATGATTGTCAGTCACTTGGCATCCTGAGTGGATCGTCATTGAAAAAAATCAGTTGGACGTATCGCATTGCAATATTTTTGAATTATGAATAGTATTTGCATAATTGCAAGAATAAATTAATGATAATAATAATAATACTCACTGGGCTAATCCAGGAGTAGAATTACCAGAGACTGCACAAACTAACGGCTTAGAGTTGAACTGGGAGATCATAACCTGGAATTTCAAATGTGCCGTGCTAAAATCTGTTGGGGTGAAAGTTACAGATATCCTGGTCTCTCCTTTAGCAGGAACGATGCCTTTTAGTGGTTCCACTTGGAATGATGGATGTGGTTGTAAATAGGTGATTAAAAACTCAAAGTCAATTGGTGCATTGCATCGTAGAGGAAACACCTGCGTTTTACTGTTTTTAAAGGAAAAAAACAAAGTAATATTAAAAAGTAATAATTGTTATGTTTTTGAATGCAAGAACATAAACTGGATAGACAAATGTTTTTATGAATGCAAAAGATCAATAGACATTAAAATTTCTGTATAATTAATGACAATAGCAGTAGCGGCAGTTTGGCGCAGCGGTTGACATTTGGGCTTTCAATCGTAAGGTCGGAGGTTCGAGTCTCCACTGTACAGATTCGCTTGTGTCCTTGGGCAAGGCACTTTAACTACATTGCTTTAGTCCACCCAGCTGTATCAATGGGTACCAGCAAACCGCTGGAAGTGTCCCGTCCAGGGGGAGTACAACTCTCATCTGCTTCACACTACAGAAACTGGAGATAAGCTCCAGCCCTATGAGCCCCAGTGGCTCGGAAAGGATTTAGTTTTAGTTTTATGACAAAGCAATAATAATGTATTATAATGATAAAAACAGCAGCAACATCAATAGTAAAACTATTAACAAAAATACCTTGATGATGACAATGGCAATGAAATAAAAAATATTTTCAGATGATAACTCAATAAAATTGTACATTTTTTGCCTGATGTTTTCAAGAAAATGTTAACTAAGGCAACTTCTTCTAATAGAAGCAGATTATCTGTATCAATGCATCATGTATCAAGTAACCAAATACTGTATATATTTTGGTTGATAAAAATAAAAATACACGAAGACCTTACCTCTGAGATATTGGAGTTGGCGGAAACCTTACAATCTGTGGAAAGTCTGAAATATTCATAACAGGATAAGCATGTATAGGTACCAATAGGTTGTTGTCCCCTTTACAATGGATCCTGATGCAGTCATAGAAGTAACGCCACTCATCTGGTCTGAACTCCACCGTACAATCCATTGTAAGCCCCGGGACAAGTCGGTCGCCTTTCGTGTACCAAACTTTGAAGTATTGTGTGGTTGGTGGAATGATGTGCATCTTGACAACTTCTGTTGATACATTCGCAATAGTCTAAGGGTGAAATTAATATTTCAATCGCAGGTTACTAGGTTCAAATCAAGTGAATATTTTTTTCTTTAAACTAAAAACAAGCTTCATAGTATGTCCTAATAGCTCATAAAACATCACTACCATACTGTCAATAGAGCTCAGATATTTTATATTAAGTGACAAAATAAATGAAATGAAAGACATTTAAAATGAAAAAAAAAAAATCTCACAATTTTTGAAGTGTATCATTTTATGTTTCTGTGCATTGACCCACACTGAGATCTGAAATTACCAACACATATTTTCACCCTACCCCCTGGAATCTCTGCTACTGTTTATTAATATATATCAAACAAAAATATAAGAAATAAAAAATAGCACAGATACAAACATAATGTGATACAAAATTATAAAAGTATTAAGGGACATTCATGAAAACAATCATAGAAGAAATAAAATAAATATAGAAGACTTAGGTCTAGTAAGTACAAATTTGAAACCGATAATTACCAATTTCATTTTGTGAAGTTTTCCTGGTTCAAACCCAGCATAATGAATGGATGCTGGACGAGCTTGGATCACCTCGTTTTGAGCTACATTATGAAATATTTCTGAAAAATATATTTAAAAAATAATTAGATTCATTTTAACAAGAGCAACCGCTCACAGGTCGGCGCGTTCCTCCATGCCTAAGATAGAAATTCTTAAATAATAAGGATATGTTTATTTGTACAAAAAAAAATTATTATTTAGAATGTTCATTTGTAAAAAATTAAAATATCAAATTGAATACCAAGATGCGATTAGAACTCACAACCTTAAGTTCTTTAGAACACATCCTTAACCGACGTGCCATCCATGAGATGTGCACTATTAGTGTAATGGCAGTAATGTAAAGTCCTTGCTGAAACCCCTGTTTTGTTTTGTTGGTGTAGAGGGAACCCTGGAGTCCAACTTAAAAAAGGGCGACGTTTGTAGGAAATCACTTCTAGTATACGTAAACAAAATTTCCTGCACACCTGTTCAAAACTGGCGACGCTGGAGGCTTTTAAAGTTTTGTTAACAAAAACAAAAACAGCAGTGAGGCAGGAAATATTATAACTGTTGACTGCTACAGTATCTCTGAACATATTTGTGTTATATTAGGGTGTGAGCATCACTACAAGTATTTTCATATTTCTTGTCAATAAAATTGGAGACCCAAACACTCATTAATAGCTTGCATCATCTTTCATACCATTTTTGAGTTATTTTTTAACTAACAATTTGTCAATATTCTTCAGTGGACCAGAACAAAAACAATGCCTAAATCAGAATGGGCCTTCCAGATTGTCAATCATACTTAACTGACCAATCAGAACAGGACTAGGCATATACATGTTGACCTTAACAACAATATCCAAGGGGCGGGGCTTGGCGTAAAGTTCCATACTTACTTGTGTCCAATAAGTGATTAGGAACTGGCTTGGATTTGTATGGCACCACCAATGTGTCTGGTATTGTGTAGTCTGTAGAATGCAATGCATTCTGGGAACTGGTCAACAGATCCACCTGAGATAATGGCCTTGCCACAGCCATGTTGAACTGTCAAAGAAAATAAAACAGATTCTTGGATATGATGTGACTGCAAATCCATACAACTGCAAACAAAAATAACTTAATTGTAACATACAAAATTTATTCATAAAAACAATACATGGTTTTGCTAAAAAATTCTTTTATTTTAAATATTATATCAACTCATCATGTGTTCCAACTCTCCCAAATAGATCAGGGAGTCTCCCAAATTTCCATGCAATCTCCCAGTCCGAATTCAGTCAAATTCTCCCAAATTTTTTAGAAAAGAAGCCCAAAATACCAAAAAAGATAATAATAAGTGGTTTCTGGTAGCAATAACTTAAAGTATTTCTTTGTCAATTTTCCCTTTGTGCACTGACTAACGATGCTGGCGTCCAAAGGCTTCCGTAGTACAGGCCTGTTGCCAAGTTCTTCCAAGGGGGTTCTCTGGGTGTGCGGTCTAGGAGCAAAGCACCAGCGGGTCAGTGAAACCTCCGAAGCCAGAGGATTTTTGTGTTTTATGGGTCTAAATAATGCTATAAAGCAGTTGTGTTTGAAAAAAATCTGCAGCAAAAACATCCCGAGTCCGTGTGGCTCTGCAGGGCATTAGCTGGGTTTGAGGACTCTTGGAAAATTTAAGGGGGAAATTTTTGCCAGTAAAGTGGGGGTCTGCTAGAAAAGGGGGCTTGCCTGAGCCATAAAACCCCCCTGTACACATTTGAAAGATCAATTTTAGATTTTCAGTAAATGACAAAGGGCATTTAGGCTAGGCCTATAAAAAAAATAAATTAGGCCTTTCCTATATTCAGGGAGTTGTTATAGTGACTGGAGATCCAACGAAGTCAGGCTCCTTTGTACCAGTTACAGACCAGCCCCAAGGGAGATCGTTAAGCTAATTGATTCGCACATTAAATTCTCGTTAACATAATTACTTCAAGTTGTTCCGCTACCAATAAAATGACGCAATTCTGCCATAGATCGTCACACAGTAGACCACTCATTGAAGGTCATCCGAGTTTGCTTAGAATTTACAGCAAAGGAATGAAGCAAAGAAGCTCATTTTTCTATTAAAAGTTAACGGAAATAATGAAAACATTAGTGTGTTTTTTCTTTAAGTGTGGATGTAAAGTAGTTATCTAGGAATACTGACCTAGGCTGGTCCTAAAATATTATGGAGACGAGATGCAGCCAAACGTCTGATGACAGTGCAAATGTTCACAATTTCAAAGAAGCAGTCTTAAGCAAGCAGTCTTGTCATCTCTCTCACCTTACCAGGGAGCTGTCATGTTTTACCTTCTGAAATCTGTATTTTTTAACTTTAAAGAGTTGACTAGTCCTATTCTACAAATTCATAAACTTCTTAACGAAAAATGGCTGCCTTTCAGTTATGCTGCCATCGGGTCGCATGTATACTGTTAGTTTGTTTGTCATTACTGTACTCGTCTTACAAGAACTTTTCGGTGGTACTCGTTGCGGCACGACGAACACCAAAAAGAAGTAGAACTGTATACGATACTACAAGAATTATGACACAAATTCCAATTCAGAGAATTATACCATCAATAAAGAATAGTTGTTTATTATTTTGAATGCTCATTATCTTAGTATCTTCTTCATTTTCCAAAATGTTTAAAAGTGGTTTTGACATAAAATAATTTTACATTAAATGAAAGAATGAAACCCCTAAATCGTTATATTTTTTTTCCTTGAAACACTTTCGAAAAATTTTAAGGGACGCCTGACCACGCCCACTTAGTTCTCATCGGGGACCTCCCCCTCCGCCGACATTGTACCGTTCCACTCACTTCCCCTTCTCACCCCCAGATTTCATACGCTGGCGCCGCCCGTTATTAACACATTGCATATTCAAATCAGGTTAAATTATTAGATTTATCCACACATAACAGTGCATGAGGGGTGGGGTGTGGTGGTGGAAGGGGGTGAAATGTTTTGAGATAAACATCTTGAACATATGTCACCCCATTGGACAATTATTGTTTGGAAGTGGTAAAATGTAAAATAGAATCCATCGTTAAAATAATATCTAAGAAATAAGTAATTACGTGAAACTATCATATTTCATGTTTATTTTTTAATAGATATACTGATAATCATTATATCATATCATTTCTTATGTATTTTTCTGTTTATCAGTTATTCATTCCGTCAGTAATGCCATACTTTTGTCATATTATTTAGTTGGATTGCTTAATACACTGCACTAATATTCATCTGAAAATAATAAAGTAAAGCATTAAAACTAATTTTGTAAACATTTAATTAAAAGAGGAACACCAGGAAATATAAAAAAACATAACACACACACCCACTCCTTATCATTAAATCAGGATTAATCTAACTCCCTGATCGAACCATGAAACCTATACATGTAAAACATGGCCTATGCCACTAAACAGGAACTATCGCCAACAAAAACCATGTTCAATGACGTCACCGCCTGCCAAATCATCGAATTTATAATGAGGTTTTCTCTACGAACACGCATGGGCACAGTTTATCGTTGAGTACCAGGAGTACGAACACATGTTTACGCACCAATAACACCAGATTTCATCGATAGGAACCGTTAGGAATGTGTTTCAATCTTGCTTAAAAATCATCTAATATTATAGACATTATAAATGATAGCTATGTTTTCGTATGAGTACAGACAAACGAAAAATTATTGGATTTTTTTTGCTTTTTTCGGTGAAAGATAGGCCGCGAAATGCTGATCAACAGAGCATCCGAAGAACAATAGTTGAACTATGAACTTTAAACTGCGCATAGGGTTTTACTATTTGAGTAACATCGGACACTTGGTTTGTTGTTCATGTCCTCGCCTCCCACTGCGGTGCTGCGCTGTTGAAGCCGGTCTGTATGATAGTACATCGTTATCGCTCGTAAATGGCCTTCGTAATTGGCGGTTCGTTTGTTCTTAATAGGTTTATTGTGCCTTTAGGCTATGATCGCTGTTTAGAGGCCAGCGTTGGATCTCCAGTCACTATAACAACTCCCTGCTATATTCAATCAAAACTGAATTTACTTTTTAATGTGCATAAATTACAACTTTAATTATCAAACAAATCACTTTTGTAAAGTTCTAAATCAGCACAAAGTATAAAGAATGGCAATGAAAATAATAGAATATATAGGCCTAGGCCTGAATACACATTGCAAATGAATCTAGGACTAGGCCTAGGGGAGTATGGTCGTAGCGGCCACGAGAGAAACGGCCGCGCTCAAAATGTATGGAACGCCAGTAGCGCTATTCCGATTGATTGATTGATTAAAGATCCGTACATGACATAATTGAATTATGATATGATTAAATTGATATTTATTATATGTTATCAGTTCGGATTTTTATGTATAATGAACTTGTATTTTATATTTCTTTCAGGACACAAACGAATTTCAACATGGGATCTGTCAATACTAAATTTACAATGTAATAAAATGTGATGAATGTGAAAAACATAAGTCAAATGCAATGACAAACAGATGTTCATTCACTAAAGAACAAACTGAACACAAGTTAGTAAAATTCGAATAAATAACTAAAGAAAGAAGCCATTTAAAAAGTACCATCCATTTCTGTAAGAAAATAGGCATACTATAAATCAATTGATATAATAAATAAACTAACTAAATATTAAGTCTCGATTTATATACTAGGCTATATATAAATTAAGAAAGAAAATATACATTAATTTGATAATTGATTAAAGCAGTATTAATATTGAACTCTGATGCCCATTGTCCAACAAACATTTTGCATACAGTACTGCGCGCTTGGCGCTCCATACAAATTGCTGTGTATCGACTCGCGGCCGCTTTCCCTGGCGGCCGCTACGACCCTAATCCGTAGGCCTAGGTCTAGGACCTAGGGCCTAGAGTATGTTTCTTTCTTATGTCTACTTGGCAGTGCCGATAAAAAACAACAAGTTTTTTTCCCGCACTACGGCAATGCCGTTTACAGTAGAGCCTAGGCCTGGACTATGAAAGTTAGGCTAGGCCTAGGCCCTAGATAGCGGGAGGGCCTAGCCTAGGCCTTAGGCTATGCTAGGCCTTCAACCTAGCTTACTTTTAGTTAGTTAGGCCTAGTGTGGAGCAGAGCGAGGTGTGCTAAGGAAGCAACTGATTAACGTCTCTCAAAGTTTCTCGACTAGTAAACCAAACAATATAAGATATGTACACAGTTTAACAGAATCAAAATATATCAAATGTATTTACCTTGTGAAATAACACAGTTTGGTTTACTGTTTATCGTACTCTCGCTCTACCAAAATATTTACAGCGTAAGCGGCCATCTTGTTCGTAACTATGTGAACACCTGTTTACTACCTTAATGCTGCGGAGGTAATGTAGGCCTAACTACAGGGTATACTATGTAGTGTTATTTAAACATTAAGTTATAAAATAAGTAATTATTGGATCGATCCTTATCAAATTAAGAACGATCAATTTACGACATAAATTTTTAATCCAAAAAAGTGTTTATTTATTTTCAGTGTTTAGTGTAGTAATTTATTTGCTTATAATACGCCGCCTTTGCCGTTAGTAACTTTCTCCAGAGGGCGCAAAGCCAAAATCTTATTCCCACGGTACCGTGGGAACACAGTAAGTTCCCACCAATATTTTACAGATCTGCTTTGGAGATTTTTACTAGACGTCTCCTTCCAAATAAAGACAACTTTTGGGATTAGCCCTACAAACTTTTAAAACTTGCAGCTGCAATTTAGTTTTAGTGTAGTTTACTGCATTTTGGTATTAAAGCGCTGTCCACAATTACAATTGTTGATGTAACAAGTTTTGTGATGTGCCCATAATATGGCCATGTCATATTACACCCAAATAATAATAATAATAATATAGGTTTTTTAATATAGCGCCCTATAATAATCTCTCAGAGCGATATTACACATAACAATGAATACATTTTTAAAAAATACAAAATAAATTTAAATTATGCTTTTAAGGCGGTGCTTAAACATAGACATGTAGGCCTACGTTGTCCCCTTAATAAATATTGGACATAGGCCTATCAAGTTTTTTTGTTTTTTTTTTGTTTTTTTTTTGTCACATAGGCCTAAAATGTGATAATGTAGACAAAGATTTAGCGCCTCATACGTCGAGGTTGGATGATACGCAAAAAAAAAAAAAAAATAGGGCAATAAATAAATTATTTTAAATAGGCCTAACTTCAGACGTTGTAAGCTTATGCCTAGCCCGGGTGTTAAAGATCTATATAGGCCAATTGTAAATCTGAAAAACTTCAAACAATTGATGAAAAACATTGGATAGATAGCTCATTTAAATTATCAATAAGTTATTTCAGTCACACAAACATCAATATCAAGTAAGTTGTTTTTACAACGAATGTATTCTTCGATCACGACTTCCAATTTTATTATTTTATTTTATAACTTGCTCATTTTGCAATAACATAGACTTGGGCACGAAGTTATTGAAATTTTAAAATGTGTACTAATTTTATATTTGATGATAAAAATAAACCATGACTGGAAGTGTTTCTACCGTTTTTTATTTTGCTGTTATGTGTAAATAATTTCAATTTTTAAATAGTCCCACGCTAGTTTCTATGTTCAAGTTGATAATTTTTATTTTACTTCAAAATGAGCAAGTTAATTCAAAAATGATTTTTATATTTTGGGGGTATTTATGATGGGAAAATATATCTTCAACCACTACGCCACATGACTTTCACTCGTCTAAGTAGCTGAGTTTGTTGAAATCATCATTAAGCCTACAGTAAAAAGCTTGCTTTTGTGAGAGTGAAATTCACTCCTCTTTCAAATTGTAAATGCATAAATGCAAATCCCACCGCTCCACTTTCAGCTGTGATTTGCATTCAAGAAGGCTTTTGAGTGCGGTCTGATAAAAGAAGGCCTAATTCCATAAATTTGTTTATATTCCAACGATAGGCCTGTTTCTGTGAAATATTATATTATTGTTAATACTTAGCCTGACGATATTTTGTTGAAGGCTATAAAGTCTAAAGTTACCGTAATTTAATAGAAATAAATTGAACGCACTAAGCACAGTAGTAAATAATTAAAGAGCAATACAAACAAAGACCACTTTCTGTGGCATCTGAAAGCATCTTTATCCATTCTGACGGTTCAGTGTATGTTCCTGGTTTCTGTTCCAGGCCACAGGTGTCAACTGTCAGCTTCCTCCAATCAGTACACAGGTGTTCTGCCGTCGCAAGCAAGCGCCATCCCTTTCTCTATATAAAGGTATTTCGATATTTTCTGATGCTTTTTTTGTGTCGCACCGATTAGAATAAGAATAGGCCTACATATACCGGTACATGTTTAATATTTTATAGTTATTTATCCTACTCGGCATTTATGTGGTGATTATCGGTATTATTTGTTTAGCGTGAATATCCTTTACACTGTGTAGCATGCATACCATTGATCACATCGAATACATTACATCCCGATTTTGAACTTATTAGAACTTCCTCCGAAATAAGCCTACAATTTGAGTTTTGACTGACTAAAGCTGATTAAGTCTCAATTATAATTATCGTATTCTATTATTATATTATTACGATATTGTTATTCATAAATATTCGTCGTCACAGAATCAGTAAGCTAGGCCGTGCGACGTTGGCTTGATGAGGTGGAAAGGAAGCCTAATGACACTGAGGTGAGTGGAGGTAAGTAAATCGGAAATGGATACAGTACGTATTCTTCCAACATGCCGTAGTACATTAAGATAGCGAGACTGAAATTTTATGTTAAGGTCAAGCCAGCTCCACCAATCAACACCTCGGATTTGAGTAAAAGCGTCGGAACAATATCCACTGTGAAGTCAGGGGTGGCACTAGAGGGGGTCCAGGAGGGCAGAGGACCCACCCCCCTGTTGGAAATCTCTGGACCACCACTTGGACTCCCTGTTGGGGAATAAGTTTTTTTATATAATTTTGAATTCATTCATTATGTAAATTTAGAATTGAAAGGTTGTTATTTATATTACTGTAAATTAATTAGTTTAATACTCTCTTTTAAGTTTTGTTTTGTTTTAGGCCTACTATGTGTATTGAGGGTCCCTAATGATCAGCTTCAGCTGGATGGACCACCCTCATTAAAGATTGTTGAAATAAATAAATAAAATAAATAAGTAATTTTTTTCCCTGGACCCGGCTTCTCCAATGTGGGTGTGGATCCCTTGTCGGGGAATTCCTGGTGCATTCCATAATGCATTAAGATAGCAAGAATGAGGGTCAAGCCAGTTCCACCAATCAAGAACTCAGCTTGGATTTACATAAGGTTGTTGAACAATATATCCACAGTCTTTTTAATTCCTTTCACTTCCCTGTTACACTTTCCCTCCAGCAGTGGTATAGAATTGTAAGCTATTTGGTAAAAGTAAGTGACAAGGTGATGCTACATACATAGCCATAATTTGTAAATTTTAAGTTGGGGAACCAGGGTGAGAGAGGTCCTTCGCACTCTGCCATAGATAGGCCTACCAAACTGAATATACTCACAAGGGATATACTATTCAAATTCTTCAATTGCTGATAGTTATGTAGATTTTTTTTCTTTCTGATCAAGTACTGTTATCAGTTAGTTGTGTAAGAGGGAAGCCAGCCTGCTCACCCCCCCCCCACTCAATTTTAGGAAATATACATTAAAAAATACAGGGGTAATCTTTATGGTAGTTAATTCCTAAATCCCAGGACCCTACCCCCTAATCAGATACATCAATTTCTTTACGTTGCACATACAAGGGTCCCAAGTTGAAAGAAACCCACTTCCAGAAAATCTGTTAAAAAAAATAATTATAACTCCATGGTTTAAATGAGCTTCACTCCGTCTGAGGTGGGAAGGAACATAGTCTGAGGGGGCGATTTGGGGTGTTCTCTTACCCATTAGAGGAGGGGGGTCAGAGGGAATATCCGGATTTATCAATCATCCAAATTTCATTCATTTCATGAAAATGAAATTCTTTCATTGCATCCTACTGTGTATTGTATTGTACAGTATTATCAGATAGTTTGCTTGGCATGGTAATGTCCCAATTAATTCAGATCTTTTTTTTAGATTTTTCCTTTTATGTTGAAACCAAAACAAAATATTGGAAAAACATATTGTATGTAAGGTTTCCATTGGAAAATATAAACAATAGTACTTTCGAACAAGATAAATTTATTCAACACTATCTGAAATTAAAAAACTACTTTAGATTTACTTTAGATTTGATTAATTCTTTATTTTTTTTAAATATTAATCTATTTTATAGCTTAGGAACAGGGCTTGGGAAAGACAGGGTTGTTTTATCTTGTGATAGCGTGTGTTGGTAATTTAATAGAGCATTGTAAACACACTAAAACCACTTCATTTCATACAGTTGACTTGAATGCAGACCCTCTCTGATTGCATGAAACACTTACTTGTTAGCCATTAATTTGTGATTGTGAATTTATGAAAGCGTTGCTCCTTTAAACATCAATTAATCACAGATGGGAAATTGGACATGCATAATTCAATGCTAGTTGAGTGGACTTTCTAGTTAGGATGCTACAATGCAGGTAGATATGCTCAGTAATGTTTTGAAATGGGCAGAAACCCCTTTCGTGCCCCACTGAAATTATGGATCTCTCTCTAGCTGTAATGCTTGGACATGTCCGCTTGTGTTGAATGGTCAGGCCTACAGAAATATGAAATCTGCAGTTCATTTTCTGTAGGATTTTAATTCTACTCATGGAATGCAAATTTAGGCATATGGAAATAAAAGTAAAGATCCGATGGATAATGCATATTTAATGTAGCACTGTCGTACAGTTAATTTTCCCTGGATGAAGTGTATGTAGATTAATATTTAATATTTTTGCAATCAGTTTAAAGAAAGGATTCACACAGAAAAAAATAAATCAGAAATGTGAGCATGATATGCATTGTTTTCTCTCTTTTGTTTTGTTTTCCCTTCTTTTTGTAGTCCCTCCATTTCTTCCTCTTTAAGTTTTGTTGTAATATTGGTGGGAATGCTAAGGCCACATTACATAGATTGTTAACCTTCCCACAATATATCCCATAATTATTAATAATCTGAGATTATCTGACATAATGCTTTAAAAATCTTGGGAGCAGGAGGAGGGGAACTTATACCTTATGGCCCTCATGCCGTAGCCAAGGTGATTCCCCTTCTAACCCACTTTGGTCCACGTAATGTCCTCCATTGAAGCACTTTTATTATTTCTAAAAATTTCTGTCACGTCCAACATGAATGAACTTGTCAGTATTAGAATGGAATGATGCTTTATAAACTAATTATTTTTATGAGGCTTAGAGAGATTTGAAATATCTTGACCGTGACAGGAATTGAACCCAGGACCCAGGGATTGAAAGGCAAGCATCTTAACCACCATGCTATTCAACGCCACTCAAAAATCTGTTTTAGAATATAAATTAGCATAATTTCCAGCCACAACCGACGTAACAACCCTTGTATCATACTATTGGATTCATTTAAATTACGGCACGCCATTGTGATTCAATATTTTGACCATAATTACATCATTAAGAATGATGCCTGATGATCTAATTAAAGACAAAGGTCAAAATATTGAATCAGGGTTGTTTGTTTCTTACTATAATCATCTCAAACATAAACTTACTGGATCAATTTATTGACCAAAACATGAATATTGAAAGGCATGTTTTATCTATGGAAGTGGTTTGGTGCAGCCGGAACGGTTTGGTTTCCCAACATCAAGGTCAGGGTTTCAATCCTTTTCTGTGCATTTCTCTTGTGTCCTTGAACAAAGCACTTTATCTGCATTGCTTTTCTCCACCCAGGAGTATAATACCCGATTCACACGTACAAAAATCTTACCAAATGTAACAAAATGTAACATTTTACGGCACGTGTACCTCCGTGTAATATCCTTGTAAAATCTCATAACATCTCAGTAATCTTTACCAGCCTCAGCTTCCGAGATGTAGCATGGATGGATCTGCGCATGCGCAGGAATTTCAACACAACAAAAATCTACTGTGTTTCACGGGGTTCTTGAATTTTCTTCCTTCTGCAGACGATTCTGATCCACTAGAAATAGATAGGCCTAGTTTTTCTCAATGATGAATGAATTACCCTTGTTATTGATGTTAATTAGTAATGGTAGAAGAAGAAGAAGATACACATAAAATGAACGTCGGGATGGTGTTAGTACTATTACTAGTATTATCAAGAGTCGACAGAAACGTTGGAAGCTATGCCTAGTTTAGTAGTAGTAGTAGTACAGCAGTTGTTAAGGGCATTGATTGCTTCGAATGTTTACTGTGATGGTGAGTTCAACAGTCCATCTGTGACAGGGTTTCTCAACTAGGCCTAGGCTAGACCTATATGAAAAATGGTTCATTGAATAAACACTGAATAAATTTTAAACGACCTTGGCATTACCTTACAGACGCGTGTGAATGCTTTTTATCTCGGTAGGAATAACTCGGGAGATCGCTCGGTTACAATTTGTTACTTTTTGTTAAGTTTAACTTCACGTGTGAATCGGGTATAAGTGGTATCTGAGGAGTGCCAAATGCACTGATATTGATATATGGAAAACTATGGAATATATCCCCATATGACTGGGGTAGTAATGTGAAAATGCACTCTGAGACTTAGTTGTGTAGAGCGCTATATAAAAACCTACATATTATTATTGGTTTAAAATTCTTATATATTGTATGCTTACATTCCTAATCTTTTGATGAGATTATATATTGAATATATAAGGATGGGGATGATAATAATGATTACCAGTTTGGTTTAGACAGCGTAAAAAATCAACAGAAAATGACAAACACCAGTAGGGGTTTAGTTGAATCAAACTATCTGGATTTGGTGTACAGTAGGTAAATTGTATTTATTATATATATTTACTTCAAGCCCTACATAATCCTTTCTGTGGTTTGGGAAAAGGATGTATTAAGAAAAACCAGGAAATTCGGACCAATCCTAGATATCTCAATCATTATATCCGGATTCATCACCTTTTCAGATCACTACCTGAATTGTGTTTACTGCAAGCTTCTTTATTATTTTAAGTATGCTAAAACGATTCGCAAGTCATTTCTACACATGCGTTTAAGGTAAGATTTAAAGCAAAAATATTTTTAGAAGGAAGATTTATAAGATTTTAAGTAATTTCAAACTGTAACATACCGAGGTCAGTAAAATTCACCTTCTGTTTTTAATTTTCTAAAGTCCTATTCTCACTATTATTTGACAAAAAACTGTTGAATGCTCAAATGTAGTCATGATGTGCCTATATATGGTCATGATGTGATGTCATGATCATATATAGGCATGTCACATGTATTTGTAAAATATAATTTTGTAGTCTATACAGGGCTTTAATTAATATTCATTCACTTGTTTACTGATTTTGAGAGTGAAGCAAGTAGCTGTTTTTTATGAGTTTGATTCAACAATTACAGTAGGCCTACTGTATATTCTATATGGTATTAAAAGGATGATGAATGATGGCGGCAATGACAGCGGTAATAGAAATATTTTTATACAGGTGTTTTTAACATGGCTATCCAGGGCTTATGCTGGTTTTCGCTGGGGAAGGGGGAAAGGTGCTAAACAGCCTTGGGGTGCAAAAATGTAGAACTAAATCTCTATTCCAATGAAAACTTAATGTTCATTTTAGTATTTTGAAGCCACTTAATTTTTTTTTTACTTATGTGTCTACTGAGTGAGTAGTTGAGGATCTCAATCAAATGAATACACATTTGACCACAGTGTGTTTTTTATTGGACCCAACATTCTGGTATTTGTTCAGTACTTTTGTAGTAAAAAGTATGTTAATTAGCAAAAACTGTAATTCATATAATACAATTAACTCATTTGTCCTTCGAGTTGTACTTTTCATTGTTTTTTTTCTGAATTTCTGACAATTTTTCATATGATAGGCATTGAAAGATTATTTTAAGGGCTGATTTTGATATTTATATTCATTCATACATATTTATATATTTTGTGTCTGTTTGTCCGTCTTTTTGTTAGGTAATCCACTTGGCAGTTGATTTAGTTCTCTTTTTGGATTTCCTATCTCTCCGTCTTTTTTGTGTATGATATTTTATGTGAATTGTATTTTTTGAGACGAATAAATGAAATGAAATGAAATAGGGAGTCTAAAATGGGTAAAACCCATTCTAACTAACCCAGAGTTGATGCTGATGCTCAGGGAACCTTTTAGGAAATATAATACATATAATATACATACAGTAAGTAATACCAATGTAGTAATGCATCTAATAAAATATATATAGCTTTTAACCGACATGTTTTGACATGTCAAATGTCATCATCAGGTAATAATGCTATGGTACTACCAGAATATACTTAGAATATACATAAGCTGTTGGTCTAATGATCACAGAAGTATTATGGTCTGCTATATTATTATTTTTGCAAAATTATTAAATGTTAATTAACATCATTATAATAATTACATCAATTATAATATTGTGTTTACAGGGGCATTTCCTGGTTTCGGCTGGTGGGGTGAGAAGAATGAGAATGTGAAACATAATCCCAGAATTTGGAACTAAATCCCTATTCTAATGAAAATTTAATGGTCATTTTTAGTATTTTAACCCAGGTGGAACTAACTTGCTGCTATGGTATTTGGGGGGGGGGGGGATGCATCTGCACCCCAGCCTACACCCATGTGTTTAAGAGATAAAGCAATGGCATAATATGAATTGGTTACAAAGGATTAGTGCAAGCATTGGCAAGATCTTGGGGCTTAATCCAAGGATCCTGTTTTCAAATTAATTAGAGAAGTCCCTTGGCCTCATAACCATATATTATTATAGAGCATCATATCTTTCCATCCTGTAGTTAACGAGTTGCTTAGTGTTGAAATGAGAATGAAAAAATGTTAAAGAGAAATATATCAAGGTAATGAATAATTTCACCTTGCTTTGCTAAGGGCATCTTCATATTGCAGGAGCAATTAAATCTAAGTACCTTCTCAGTAATGATAATACTTATGCCCAGGCTCGTTAATTACTATCACCTTTCGGTTCAACAACTCAACAGTAACTGACACTTAGGTAAGAGAACCTATTTTTAGATGTCACCTTAATTGCCTCTGACCACTGTTCGGTTTCGGTATTTCTATTTGGGCCGCACATTGATCGTTGCACACACTTACGTGTTCATACGTGGGAACAGGCCTCCGGTGAAATCAGCAAATTGCCATAATGAGAATTATTAATATAATTTTCCTATCTGTTTTTCAGAGAATGCAAAATTAGGCTTGAAAATATATGGCCTTAAGACAATTATGTTACATTTGTATGACTTCGAAGAATAACACATTTGTTTCTGATCATCGATTGTAAAATTGAGCAAACCATTCAGCTGAACGAATCAGCAATGGCGGACATTTCACGGAGTAATCTAGCAACATATAAATTGGTTGTTGTTGGCGATGGAGGCGTTGGCAAAAGTGCAATTACGATACAGTTCTTCCAGAAGATGTTTGTTGAGGATTACGATCCAACCATCGAGGATTCTTATATGCAGCATGAGGAGGTGGATGGAGAATGGTGCATGCTCGATGGTTAGTACAAATAATTATAATTTGGTAATTAATTTTTATTCAAAATAATAATATATGATGCTCAAAGTTATGGTGATTGTAAATCTGCAAGTTTAGATATTTATGCATGTAATGAAACTGATGATGATAATGATGATAATAAAAATTTTAATTATGTGATGATATGTATGATCGTAATTGTTACATGTAAATGGTAACTATTATAATTATGTTTATTGGATTGGATTTATTTGGTGTAAACACTAAGGATAACCCACGAAAGTCTGAAGACTTATTTCCAGTGGGGTCCTTCTGGTGGTGATCTGTTTCATATTTATAAGTCTTGAAATGGGGGTGCTGATGTGGGGTGCGAAGGTGAAGTTGGGGGGTTCGATGATCAGTTGATTGGCGCTAATTCATAAAATAAAACGATTTTAGTTGATTTTTAACTACTTGACTGAATTTTTGTTGAGGCGACTTGGGGGGGCCGCGAGTACTTTTTGGAGGGGAATGTGCACCCCATACGCCACTGTTCGTGATTAGGCAGTAGCCTACACTAGGAGACAATCCCCTAAAATTGTATTGATTATGACACTGATAATAATATAATTGCATTTGGATTTGGATTTCTTTGGTGTAAAATGCACCAAATGATAACCCATGTGGAGTAGACAGACACTGCATACAGTATGTGATGCGAGTGTATTGCATCCTGTAATATGCATATGGGCCATATTATGCATCCAAGCCAAAACAATGTAATTTAACCAAAAAAAAACAAGAATATACATTGTTTTGCCATTGAATGACTGCGCTGCTTCGTAATCATCAGTAAATTATTAATAATTTTACTGATGATTATGATTATTATGCCGTTATAGTCCTATTTTTGGTGGTGATAATTATGTTGTTGATAATACTGATAGTTATGATTAATTATAATTATGATGATATAAATGTATTAATGATTATGATGATGATATTGTTAAATTATGTTGATTATGATGTGTATTAATGATTAATGCCATAAAGAAGGATCATGTACTTCATGATGATGATATTGATAATTATATAAAGATATATAATATTTTATATATTATATTACAGTATGTGTAATAATATATTCAGATAAAGAACCTACTAGTAAATTTGCTTTATTTTATAGTCTTAGATACAGCTGGACAAGAGGAATTCAGTGCTATGAGGGAGCAATACATGAGAACTGGGGGAGGCTTTCTGCTTGTTTACTCCGTCACAGATCGAGCTAGCTTTGAGAATATTGTAGGATTTCACGCTCAGATACTCAGAGTCAAGGACAGGTACAGTATGATGTTATTTAGTAATAAATAATATTAAAGTAGGGCATGAAGTTAATATTTAACTTGTTATAAGCTTTGGAGCACCTGTTTTATAACATAAGATGGCAATCTTTGTTGTGTACTTGACAAGATAGGGGTCATAGGGATAGAGGACCAAAGCCCCAGGGCATCAGGAACCCAACAAATAAATAAATATAAATGTTTAAAAATTTAAAAGAAATTTGAAATTAGGCTGTATGCTACTGGCAGGGCAAAAAGAGTATTCTTATTCTTATTCTTTATTCACAAATAACAAAAAGTACAATACAGTGTCTAATAGAGTATCTGATTACTAACAAAATATATATCAAAAATAATAATGTTTGGGAAGAAAATGATGAGGCCCCTGACCAAAAGATATTAAAAATTAAATATAAAAAACAATTAGACTGTATGGTATGGTAAGTGCAAAATCAAAACAGATTTTTTTTAAATGTGCATCAGCATGTTTTCCTCATTATGATGACGTATTTTAATTACAAAATATGCATCAGTGAAAATATGATACACATTGAAAGTATCATTTGACAGAGGAAATAATGTGATAATTTAGATTGGTTTATATTTTATATGTGTTGACATAGTTATGGGAAATCGTAATATCATACAGAATTGAATGCCAGGTGTTGTTACAGCTTATATAAACATTTTCTTAGAACTGGTGATAAAAGCTGGTAGATAGAAGCTCAGGATTTATAATGACCTGGACACATTGGGAAGAACGGTTATAATATGTAAGGGATGCATTTGTTTTAGAAGATTTGTAATTGCTATGATAATTATAATAGTAATATAATAAGTAAATAATATTTGATATTAAGGGGGGTACTAGGTAAGAGACTGACCAGGAGAGAACAACCAAATTTAGTGGCATAGGCTGGTTTTGGCATGTGGGGGGGGGGGGGGGGGAGGTGGTTGCAAAAATTGAGATGAGAATGTGTGAGTAAATACCTATTCCAATAAAAACTTAATTGTCATCTTCAGTACTTTAACCCTCTTAGTAGAACTAATCCTCCCATCCACCTAGCCACACCTATGAAATTGAAAGGGTATTAATCTCTCTATCAGCTTCCTGGGCAGAGGTGGCACCGGTGGGGGGATAGGGGACATTTTCCCCCACGACTACAGATCGTTGGATGAAAAACTAAAAAAATATAATATGCCTATCCAAAGAATGTTATTTTGATTGCTAATTCACTAATATTGTGGTCTAAAGCACTATTTGGACCATACTAAGCCATAAAAACGCTCCCAGTGAACACAGCTACCAGGGATTTTTTATTCCGGGATAAAATGTGGGGGGTGGGGGCCGCCCCTGGGAAAATTTCTGGCGCCACCACTGTTCCTGGGATCATAGTATGGAAATGGATGAGGATATATAACTGATGTCTTCAATATGGTTATGGGGCCTAGTAGGAAATTAAAGACTGTTGACTGTGAAGACAGTGGACTGCCTCTTTAAACTTCTGTCAAAGCCTTCTGCAGTTACAACCTGCATTATAAAATTCTCAAAGAAATCTAGTGTACTATAGACTCATTAACTGAATCCATTAGAAGAGACCCAGAGTAATTAAAATGAGGAAGTATGATAGTTCCCTTATCTATCATTCTAAGAAAATCTAATGTATTAATGAAGGGAATGGAGGAATGGCAGCTAGTTAATTATTTCAAAAATTCTATGTAATATTAACATATAATACCAAATGAATTAAGATTAATAATTATATTAGAAGAGATCTAGAGTACATAATTAAAATGAGAAAGTATTCATAGTTTTTTTTTAGTCTGGTGGTAACCTAGGGAAGGCTACAATTAATTATTTCTTATAATTTAATTTTGGAATTCTAGTGTATTAACTTATAATAGATGAATTAAGAATAATAATATTTATTTAGTAATTATTTTACTGACATAAATTATGAATGTTAAAGTAGTAATACAGTATTTATAAAAATAATAATTGAAATGATGATAATTATATAATACAATATTATGATGATAATACTATATAATAATCTTTAATTTTTATATTAGATCCATTGCTTTGCATTATTAATATTATTAAGTAATACTAATGATCAATTAATAACATTATTATTGTAATGATAATATATGTATACTGTAATGTTCCCTGATTTTATAGGTTTGGATCATAGATGGATTATAAGGCTAGATACAAACTATTTGATGTATTATATATTATAAAGTTGATGGAATGAATATTGTTTAAATGGCAGATTAATATTACTTAAGATGACCTTGACATTTTTTTGTTCGTGTGTGCAATTTGATTTTCAAATAAATAAGGAAATGAACTGATCGTAAAAAAGTATTAGTATTTATTGTAATAATGATGATGGCACAAATGATAATAAATAGGCTATAAAACAAAATGAGCATAATGATTATGACACACAGTGTTTACTGATAACAATAACGATACAGATGATGATGCTGATAATGATTATGCAAATAATGATGATGGTGATATGATAGTGGTCATGTGTTGGTTGTAGATAATGGTGATGGTTTTAATAGCGATGGTGAGGTGATCACTAGATATTTTATAGGCATGAAATAAAATGATAAACCTAATTAGGATAGTTGATTAATCATTATTTAAAGACTGAGACTCGCATACGATAAGTAAGACCACAAAATAATGAAACAAATTATGTTAAATGTATCATGTGTAATAGTTTACTAATCTTGTTATTTCCATTGTAACAGTGAGTAGCATTATTAAAAAATATTAGTGTAGATTTGAACTCTGACATTTGTTCACATGACTAACATGCCGTAAGCATTGCTTTTGTATTAGAATATATGCACCATGCACATCTTATCTACAATATCTATTATTATAATGCCAGATGGCAGTACATTTAAATGTCACCTGATGAATCACATGACACACCTGTTAAAATGTCTTAAAAGGTTTAAATACCATCTCCTTAAAAACATCAATTATCTCATCAAGCAATTAACAAAGCATCGAGTTGTACAATAAAAGGAATGCTACAATTTATGTCCTTGGATATTCCAGTTCCTTTTAGCAGTTATTATCTTTATTATTTCTTAATTATGAAATGTTTATTAATAAAATTCAAAAATATATTTAAATGTTTTCTAACAATCTGTATATTGTCATTAAGTAGTATTGTTATAGTTTGTGTTCTATTGTACTTCATTCATGTTTCATATTCTAATAATACTAATACTAAATAGTATAGTAGAGTATGTATGTGTTACAAAATAATTTCAGGTTTACTTGTATTAATTTATCATTTGGCAACTATTACATGTCTATGCATCACTTATTATACAGTGCATGAACGTAATGCCGTGGGCCCTCTAAGAATAGTACATACTCCAGGGGTATGTCCCCATCCCAGTTTTGCCACTAGTACATACAATGCCATGTATTAAAATAAAACAAACTAGGAAACAAATAATTCCCCTACCCCCCACCCCTGTACAATATCCATTTTCAATTCCTAGCTTTAAAAAACTATTATAAACAAAAATACTGTCAGTGCCTAACCTACCTGAATACATTTTAGAAATTCTGATAACACAAGACTGAATGACAATGTTATTTTCATTTTATCGTAGGGATTGCTATCCCATGATTCTTGTTGCGAACAAAGTTGACCTAGTCCACCATCGCAAGGTTTCAAAGGAAGAAGGCCAACATATGGCATCACAATTTGGAGTAAGTTTTGATGTATTATTTTATTATTTATTTATTATTTTACTCAATTTATTATGATAACATCGAAGAAAGCCTGCAGTAAATTAACATCTGTTGTGCTTAAAGAGTCCTACAACAATAATGAGCAAACCCAAAACTATTCAAATATACTTTTACATTATTTTATATATTTCTTTTATATCCATTTGTTTTCTATGTATATCTATTTTATTTTATTATTTAATTTATTATACAGGTCTCCAGTAGCGGATTCAAGGGGTGAGCCGGCCTGGGGATCCTACATTTTTCAAAATTGTAAAAAAAAGGAGAAAATTATAATCAAATTTAGGTATGAGAATGCCATTTCCGGCCACCTAGAGGTGCCATAATCATAAATTTTCTTACAAGCTCCAGCCATGGTGGGGCTGAGGTGGCCTCGTCCCTCATCTGTGAAAGTCTGTCCCCGGGCCCCATCTATTTCAAATTCCTGGATCCACCACTGTCTCCCTTCATTTAAAGACCACTTTTTGGCAATTTGGCATGACAGAAAAGTGGTCTTTAATTAGAGGGCCCAGACCTGTAATATTATTTGATTTATTTATTCACGGTTTTATTATTGAATTTTCATTAATTATGATTGTTTTTGTCTATCTATTAAGATTGAAGTTGTTTCTTTGTTCCCTTCACTAGCTTCAATACATTGAAACAAGTGCCAAGAACCCGCCTCAAAATATAGACACAGCATTTCATGAATTAGTACGTGTTATACGGCGTCATCCCGAAGAAGGTAAACCAAATAAGACTACAGGGTGTTTCCATGATTGCATTGTCCTATAATATTGTCACCAAAGATTGTTTCTGGTGGTTAATCGCACCAAAGAACTTAAATAGCAGAAGAATGAGCTGCTCCGCGTATTTTCATTAAAATCGATGGAAAATTCGCCCTCCTGCGGTTGCAGTAAAATTTGAACATTTTACTAAGTAGAGAAACTAAAGGAAACAAGCGAACAAGACCAGCGCCTTTATTATTTTTATATAGCACCGCCGCACGGTTGCAGTAAACTTGCTCTCCGTGTACCCACAATGCCTTTTGAACGGATGTTCCACTATATTGGGAAGCTGCTCTATCTTCTGCTATTTATTATCTTTGATCGCACCGTTCATCTGCAAATCTACGCATCATGATGTCACAAACATTTGTTTCTGACAAGGTTAATTTTCTGAAAATGTTGCCGACATGGGATTTACTCCCTAGGTTTCTGAAATTGTTGATGACATGGGATTTATTTCCTAGGTTCTGAAAATGTTGCCGATATGGGATTTACTTGCTAGGTTTCTGAAATTGTTGCCGACATGGGATTTACTCCCTAGGTTTTTGATATTGTTGTTGACATAGGATTTACTCCCTAGGTTTCTGAAATTGTTGATGACTGTATCAAACATCTGTTTATGTTTTGGGTTGACAATATATATTAATATTTATGAAAAATGTGAACTTGTAAGTGGCATGCAAGTGCAGCAAATTCCACTGGTTAAAAAAATAGAAATACAAAAATCATTTTGTATGTTGTATTCGTTGTTGGATTTCACAATCTTTTTAAAATACATTTTGTTTTTTATATTTATTTTGGAGAGTAGCAAAGCAAATTGTTTAAGGCAAAATATAATTAGAGTAGTCTAAGTTTTTAACTGATTTGTTTAGTCAGTTTTAGTAATTTTACATTAACTTCAGAAATTATTGTATATTTCAATTTGGCATTTTTATCTTCCATTTCTTATAATTGTGTTTTAAGTGCACTCATGTTTGTGTAGGTACATAGTGACAACAAATATGTAAATGAAATACACACCACAATTATTACAGGTCTGTAGTTATATATTAAAGTAAACAAGATGAAACTTTTATTATCTTTATAGTGTCTCTCATAGACAAAATACTTATTGTTCATTTTAACAGAATCAGATCAGAATTTTTTCTCTTTTTTAAAAGTATTGCATAATATGTAATGAATAATGGATAAATCATTTGATAATTAACTTTGGTATGAAACAACACCTCCATCAGTGATATACACGAAGATGATACAGGTTGGTTGGAATTTTAACCCAAGACCATCAGATTACCATTCGGTTGTTCTATCAAAAAGTGTTGTATAGAAGAATAAAATAATTTTTATAGAGTGTATGTACAGTATGTATAAAATATTTTAAGTCGTTTTCAAGTCGGGTGACATATATGACGATACGAGTGCAACCGTTAAATTAATGACAATCTGCGCAGTCTACCATCAGCAGTCAGTATCACATCATCAAGTGCTCACAGAGCAGAGATGAATTTGTCCGCTGATAGATGTTTGACTGTCGCAAGACCTAGTGTACGTGCCTGGCTATGATGTTATAAATGCTGCTAAGGGCATATATTTTCAAAAAAACTTAAATATAGTTCGGAAAATAATATTTTTGTTGGCAACAGAAACAGTATCGTCCCCACTTCCATTATAAATTTATTCTTGTGCATTTTAGAGAAATCTTAGCAAACTGGTTAAAGGAAAAATTGGTTTAACAAAAAAAACTTCTCGCATACTTTAGTACCGTAAAGGGAATTATTTTATACAAGGAGGCATAATTTGTAGGTATCATGAAGAAATGATAGTCGTAAGCCTACTTATAAATTGTTTTAGTATCATTTTGTAATAATTTTGTTTAACAAATCTAATTTTGTACAGAATTTGTATTTGAAAGAAATAGGCCTGCTTGTGAACAATATTTCAAGAAGTAGGCCAATATATACTTTGTAATAATTTTAGTTTTATAGGTGTTTAAACGTTATTGTATGCATATATTAAAGTTATATATATTATATATACTGTATATAAACATATATACATATTATTTGGTATGATTTTGTAATATATTTGTGTATACAATGATAGTGTACAGTTTTTATAGTTTAAAAGGTCTAGCTATGTGCATTATGATTTTGAAATATTTTTGTTTTTTCAGATATTTAAATATTTTCACAATTCTATCTCATAAATGCAACTTCCGGAATAACATGTCATGTCCTAATAATAATAATAATCAATATTTATGTAGCGTCTAATGTTAATAACTTCTGGGTACTCAACAACAACGTAATAAACAATAAAACAAAAAAATTAGTTTAGTTGAATACATTGGGACTAGCTTACAGGCTAGCAGATAAAATTCTCAGAAAAGCATGAAAAGTTGAGGGCGCACAAATTATGTTTGGAGATTTTAAGTACAATAATATACACAGTAAAAACGGTCAGTTTTGTGTAACAACTTTCTTTTTTCTCAAAATGTCCAACTCAAAGAGCTCAATCACCAAGCGCATAGAGGCTTTTTCGCATGATGCGCTCTACAAATCCAACTATTATTATTATTATTATTATTATTATGATGACATTGATATCACAATATTCCTTTAGTTACTTCCTTTTATGAGATCAAATTACAATCAAACTTAAACTTACATTGAAGTCTTGTTTAATTTCTAACTATACACAATTTTAGCATGCCTATTTGGCAACAGTGGTTCAGTTGCTTAGTGTCTTTGGGCAGCTTGTGTCTTCTTTGCGAGTCTTTTTGCTTTGTAAATATCTAGTTTATTTTGTTCAAAAAAATTTCAAAAAGAGCGAGATTGAAAAAATAATGTTTTCTTTGATTTACAGATTTTTTTCACTACAGAAATCCTAAATTTATTACCAGCCCAGCATAAAAAGCAAAAATATTGAGTACCTGCCAGCCACATGTGGCCCAACAGATATTTTGTTGTAGCGTACTAAAATCACACCTATATACAGTATGGGAATATCCCAGGTACTAATAATAATGTCCCAGGTAATAATAATAATAATAATGTTGTTTGTATAGTGCATATTGTACAGTAGGTATTGGACAGGCAAGTCTCTCATACCACTGCTTAAAATGAGGGTTTAATGATGGTATACTATAGTAGTATAGCTACAGAATGCTGCATTATAATTTGATCAAATCCTTTCCCAACATCCATTGCTGTGACTAGGGTAATTTGCTTTAACGTGCCTAAACATAGACTCTTTTTTTATATCTTCATATCACATCACTGGGAATGTAAAAGTGGTCTGCTGTGTTGTCTAGGTCAAATGTTGTCATAGTTACACTTTTATATATTTTGTTCAAAGAAAATTAGTGTACAGTAGTTGTACGGTGATATGTTAACAGTAATAAATATATGCGACTATTTACCTACAAATGTGGCGTTGTTTCTTTTATATGCGACAATGAAACGTTCATAAATGTAGTTCAAAATAAATGAGACATTTGAAGTTGTTCATTGAATTGTTGCTGTTAGGTGAAACTTTTTTATACCTTGTTACATGAACTTATTTTTTTTAAAGATCGTCAGAGAAGGCCTGAAAAAAAAGAAAAATATTTTTTTGTTTCTTATTTAGCAAGTTTGCCGAAAACATCCGGACGGAGGAGAAAATAAAAGTTTATTGGTGAATGTAAACAGTGTTGGAATGGTTAAGAAAAACTAATTTTTTTCTGAAATTTCCATTTTTTTTGTGGTGGTTGGTGTGCTAATTGGCCAAAAATAAATTTTATTTTTATTTCAAATCATTTTTGTGGGCAGCATGTTTGCTAAACAAGTTGTCAAAAAAATGTTGTCTTACAACATGTGGTTGGTAGTGAATTACCAAGCGTGTCAGTGACTTGTTCCAGATGTAAAATTAAATTTAAAGCACATACATGCTGTCATTTACATATTAATTAAAAAACGCTTCAATAATTTTCTTCATACTATACTAGATAACACTGTATTTATGAATATTGAACTAAACATAAGAATCTAATATACTTTTTAGTAGGCCAAATATTATTAAAATAATATTTTATATTTCATTTTTAATTATTTTCAGCATATGTTGTTGCTGGTGCAAATGTTTCTGCCATTGTTTATTTATCATATCTCTGCCCACCTTTCTATCTTCCTCATATCTTCTCTTGCCATACTCTGCATCATTCTGTAATTGCCCAGTACTACAGTACATCTATATTATTTTCTTCTAAATATATCAATCTTTGTTTTCGATATTTTGCCACTACATTCTTTCACTGTTTTTTCTTTCACTGAATAGTAAATGTTACAAAAAATAAAACATGTAGTATGTAGTAACAAACAAGACATTTTATTGTTGTTTTTTTTTGAATCCTTAAAAAATTGTATTTAAGGAAAATGTGTCCAGTATTTGCTCGAATAAAGATTCATAGCCTGCCACAAATGAATGAAATATATAAACTTGTTGACAGTTACCAGTACACTGTATGAAAACTAACTTTGGTAAAAAAGATCATCATCATAGGATATACATGATTGGCCTAGATAGATCTGCATAGTTTGAGATAAATAACTAATTTCAGTTGTCCATTATTGGAATACAGTATCCTTTTTTGAAAGATAAAAATGTATAAATAAGTAGGATTTGCCAAACTCTAAAATGTAATAATGGAACACAGTAAAGAGAAAGTTTATAACTAAAAGGAAAAAAATCTACAGTGTAATCAGAACTCTTAATAGACTTTAAAAATAATAACATAATCAAAACAAAATAATAGTGACAAAACGATATAAAGAAAATTGTGAATACCCAACACCTATGCGTACTATATTGGAAATAGATTTTGATTTTCTGTATCTGTAGCTAAAGAAAAATAAATACAGATGAGCAAATTCAATAGACCGATTCAGTGATGGGCGTCACGTGACCTAACTTGAGTGTTGGATATAAACAATCGACTGGTACTGCAGTGTTTTAATGGAGATTGCTTTTGTGGCTGTCCCTTGTTATTGTTGTAAAGATCATCATAATTCCCAATAAACTAGAGTACAGTATACCGAATTGATTGGAAATTGAAGTTGAGAATTTTGCCTTAATGGTCTGCTAATGCTGCAAAAGATAGGCCTACTGGCCGCAAAACATTGGGATTTTTCAACGAATGTTAGCCTAGGCCCCTGCACATCTATGGCATGCTTATTTATGCATGAGGGTCTTCGACCTGCGAACTAGGCTGCGATGTTAGGGCTAGCTAAGGTTTATGAAGGATCACTTAAATTTCAAATCCTACAATCATAGTAGAATGCCAAGATAAGTAAATAACTGAAAGCAAATACTGAAAGCAAAAATGGAACGGTTTACAGCATCTCCAACAAGCTCTACTGAAACCACATAACCACTGCCATCATCCTTTGATATGTTTAAGAGAGAATTAAAAATAAAGGGCAGATTGGGCCCCCAGGACAGACCGAAAAACTGTCCTACTTAAGCGTAATGAGACAGACAGAAGATGGTCTAACTCGTGGTTACAACTGTAACATTATTTTAAATGCTGTAACTATGGCTGTATCAAGTGGAACCCCACTTCAAGGCTACCTAGAAAGCCCACCGGAAATGAGCCTAGATCAACTCAGACGAGTCCTGCGGTATCATTTTAAAGAAGGAGATGCACTGGACTCCCACCAACAACTGTCAGCTGCTTTGCAAAAGCCTGGTGAGTTGGCCCAAGAATTTGTCATCAGCGTTATGAACCTTCGGCAAAAAGTGAGGTTTTCATCCAATGAGGAAGGGGCAGCACTGATGTAGGACGATCAGTTGTTGAGAAGTACGTTCCTCCAGACATTGCAGACAGGCCTAAGGGGAAACTTACGCAGTGAGATGAGGGAACACCTTCAGGAACCCAACATCTCAGATGAAGACCTGCTGGAGAAACTTGCCCGAGCGGAGAACCTCAAAGACAAATGGAAACAAAAACAGTACACACCGAGCACCGTAAAAGTTGCCAGTGCAGCAGTTAACAATACATCGGCTTCGAACACACCTGCTTCCACCACTGAGGAAATTAAAATCCTGATGGAGGGAATAAAGCCATTACAAGCAAGTGTGTCAGCATTACAGGGACAGGTAGAGAAAACTGTGCGACCAAATAGAGGACGAAATCCATGTGGCAGTAGGAGCCTGATTTTCTGTGCAGGTAACACATGTATACCCAAGTTATGTCACGTGACCAGCTGTAAACAAACACTGCCAAATCTGTCTATTGTTTCACTTGTGTGTTTTAGTAACAGTACTTGCTGAAAACCTTACTTCTAATATGTGTCGAACCTACATCCACGAATACGAGCATCAATATTGTCATATGACCACGTGGTCACGATTGAGCATGTCCAATATAATTGATGTTTACTTAGTATAAATGCAATATCTGCAGTTAATGTTGGCTTTGAAATTTATATAAAGGAATTTTATATCACATTAAAAGTTTATGGCCTGAACCGCTAAAAACATGAAAATTAATGTTCGTAGACATTCCAAAGCAGGCAAATTAAGTTCATAAAAATTAAGGGGTTTTATACTATGTTGTTATAGATTGGAATGTTTAAAAGAAAACTGCATGTGAAACATAAGCCAACTTCTTGATCTCGTATCAAAACAATGCCAAAACAATAAGTAAAAAGGGAAGGGGTAAAATTTAAATTAGGTTGGATTATAACTCGGTCTTCACTTTCGTTTTCACATCCACCGTGGCGTGGTATTCAATGAATTCTACAAGCTTTTCTAACGTACGGTCACCAACTTCATATTTTACTGGGTTATTTTTATCATTAGCTTTTGAGAAATAAATGGTTGGGAACCCCATGTGCGAGTAACTCAATGATGGAACATCGTTGGCTGTAGCGTCCATCTTTGCTATAACTAAGTTCTTGTTATCTTTGTACTTTTTGCCTAGCTGCTTGTAAATTGGCTCAAGTTTTTTGCAGTGGCCACACCAAGGAGCATACAATTCCAGTAAAACATCTTTTGATTTGTCAAGGACTATCTTTTCAAAAGTTTTTCCTGTGACAATTTTCACTGGTCCATTGTTCTTTTTTGGCACTGGCTGAGACTTAATGACTGGATCAACTTTTCCTATTAAGAAAAAACAATTTAGATTTACAATTAATTTATGATTAATTTTTATTACATGAATATACTGTAATATTTATGATTCGGTGGATGATTGATTATAAAAATGTAAGTTTGATTTAAGTGACAGCAGTATGATCTTAGTAAAATCAATCATGGCCTTTTTATCTTCATCATAATCATCATCATCATCATAATCATCATCATCATCATAATCATCATCATCATCATAATCATCATCATCAGTTATGATAATTAATTTAAATTAAATTCCAATTGAATTAAATTTTATTTTTGTCTAACTGCAAAAGTACAACACAAAGTCTACATAAAAATTAAAAAAATCATTGCATTTGTGAATAAATCTAAAGAATAATTCAAAATACCTAGATAGATAATTTATTTATTTACAATTATATAATGTATATTCGTAATTAATAACATTCAACATTCCTTACCCTTTTTCCAAGCATCAATAAACTCTTTTAATTCTTCTTCATCGAAGTCTTCCTCTGGATCCATTCTGTATTTCTTCTTGTTGTCACCCCAGATACCAATGCTTATCTCTTCACCGCTATCATCCAGCTCAAGTTCTTTCAGTTGATCTTTGAACTCTTCCTCATCCGCGATGGCAAATGTCAGATCTTTGTAGTCCTTGGCTACTTCCAAAATCTTCTTACGCCAAATTTCAGTTGCTGCAATTTAGTATAACGTGTTGAAGAGATTACAGTATATATCTATTATTATTATCATCATCATCATTATCATATCAATATTACATAATCATATAACTTTGCAACACTGGATTAAGCTCATACACTATCAGAGCAAATATTCAATGGCCAGTAATAAGGACAAAGAAATAAATATGAAAATGCTAATAATGAATTAATGTTCATAGCTAATTTTAACTTACCAACTCTATATTCAAAACTCCAGTCAACAGGGTAGTAAGCAACCACTAGAGGGCGGTCTGCATATCGTTTTTCTGCATTATCCTTGGTCATTTGGCCGACCAGTGGCACTTTGTGGCTATTATAGAAATCTTCCAAATCATCTGAGTCCCCATCAGACTGGAAGAAAATCATCAATTCAAGGTAAAATTACAATGAGACCAAAATTCAATTAAAACACTAAATTGTTTAAATGAATTTAATGAAGTTATCAGTTTCCATTGAAACAATTAAGTTCTTGCTAATTAAAAGATGTTTTTTCTATTTATATATGAGTGGAGTTGAATAGCTTGGTGGTTAAAATGCTCGCCTTGCAATCCTAGGAACGGCTTGCTATAAAACAGTATTAACTGTCAGTCATAACTCCTTGAATAAAGCCAGCATTATCACTTAGATGGTCTTACTAAAGTCACTCTGCTAAGACCATTGCTATAAAACGGTCTTCGTTTAGACCATGATGAGTATTGAAACGCTAACAAGCACTCCCAGGTAACATAAAATTGAGGGTGCTGTTACACATACGTCACGCTTACTCAATTCATGTATACACAATGCACATGTATCAAAATAAACGTAAATAAACAAAGACCAGTTTTTACAGACGCCGACAAAGAGTGACGGCACGAATATAGCCGGCTAAGCATTAAGACCATCTAAAGACTGATTATAGCAATCCCCCTCTGGTTCCTGAGTTCAAATCCTGCCAGATCCTAGGATTTTTTCTCATGACAACTCAACTCCATAAGCCAGGTTAAGAGACATATTTTATGTCGAGCATCATGTTTATATGTCTGTCATGTGAAGGGATTGCCACCCATCTAATAGGACAGTGATTAAGTCGCTATTTGTAATCTTTATGTGCCTAAAGCAATAAAATAAAAATATCTCTTATATTGTAGAACTGTGTATCAGCAAGAATGTGAATAATCCTTACCGCTTTAAAGACGTAACGTTTTGCTTCATATTTGCTTTGGAATCTCTCTGGGACAAAAATCACAATCGACCCAGCCTCCGCCTTGTAGTGGCCTTATACACATCTAGATGTGTATAAGAGACAGATGTCACGTGACCAGCTGTAAACAAACACTG